GAGAAGAAGATTTTTGAAATTTTAGTCAATTTGACCCTTTTTGGCCCCGCCCCTCAGGCCCCTGGGGGCTTAGGACTAAACCGGCAACTATTTTTGTTGACCTTTGTCCATGGAAGGTCCCTGCAAAATTTCATTGAAATTGGTTCAGGGGTTTTGGAGAAGAAGTCGAAAATATAAATTGTTTACGGACGCACGACGGACGACGACGGACAAAAGGCGATCGCAATAGGTCACTTGAGACTTTGTCTCAGGTGACCTAAAAAAGTTAAGGGAGATAACTCTAATATAAACAAGGAAGGGGGGACACTTGTGTAGCGAGTCTGTGTATTAACAACACCTGTATAAGCATCTATTATACTGTACTTGTCGGGTCAGAATCTCTACTACATTATTTTGAGTAATAACTGTTTCTCCCACAACCAAGTTTCTTCACTCCCGACTCATTGAAAAAACCTGCTATGAGTTGTTAATCATTTTTGGTTAGCCACTAGTGGGTAACATCCTGGACGTTATTTCATTGGCCCCTGTTCTAATTATGACTTAAATTGAAAATGCTTTGCAACATCATCATCCATTGTGACTTCACAATTGACGTCAACTGTTTCCCCCCTCAGAAACAGGCACAATGTATTTACCAAGGGAAGCACATAGTTTATCAGTTATATAATAACCTTGTGGAAGAAATGGTTTCAAACTCATGATACTGTAGCTTGTTATGATGTTTAACTAACTCCATTTATTTTTTTATTTTCAAATTGTTAAAGACATTCGATAAACTTTGTGTATTTATACAATTTTAGAATGTACTAACTCAAGATTGATAAACATGAGCACCAATGTAGGGTCATTTTCCAATTAGGAATTGGTCCCTGTACTGGACCCTATAAACACCTGGCAAAACTCCTGAATTCTGTACACAACACATTTATAAAGCAATTTGTCATTTTTTCAAAAAAGTATACATGAAAATTACTTCGTTTAATTGTACAAATGTACCTTATATTATTGAAAACGTTATGTTGAAACAATAATTCCCTTTTTCCCTAAAGTTTAAAATAACTCCATTTCAGAAATAAAATTGACCGTACATACCGGTAGTAACTGTTACCCAAATAAAGGATTGCCAGAGATCCGTCTAATGAGGATCTATGACCAACCTGACCATTGTCTAACACAGGGAAAATCCTGGAATTTCGGAGCAGTGGGCCATATTCAGCAATTTTTAGTCAATATCAAAGTTAATAGGGGCCATTTAATGTAAAACTAAAAAAATATTGGAACATAGAGGGGTCAATTTAATTTTAACAGGTCAGGTTCGGGCCAGGTGAGCTAAAAACTTCAGAGGTATCCGAGTATTTAAGTTATGCGGATCAATAAATTTGGTATGAAATTTGCTGTTTGGACATAGCACTAGCAGTTTTTGATTTTATCAAAGCTTGTAATCAATCGATGAATAATATACGTAAACAATAGAACAATTACAATTTCCGAAAAACGTACTTTCGTTCATCGTAAATTCGTTATTAAATATGGGTCTAGTTATTAAATTGATGTTTTTGGCTAGTCTATATCTTGACAAAGTCTTTCCAGGTCTACATTTGTATTCGCAAGTTCGTTAAGTTTTACTTCTGAAGTGTTACATTTAAAAATTGAACAATACCGCTGTCTCCTACCTCATACTATACAATGTGGAAAGGAAATGAAAGTGCGCAAGTCTAAAACAAATCACTGTAATGGAGCATACACGTAGTTGATTCTGTAAATGAAAACACACACAAAACGATTATCTCGTACATGTAAACCATTGATTCATTAAAGCCAAATGTGACACCTGACACCTCAACCCAATCTAATCAACAGCAATTATCGTATTGTTCTTAATTCTCTCGATCAACTCAAACTCTTTTATGCATGACCACGCTTTGTGACCAATGTTCCGGTCTGCATTGTCGTCTGTTTGGGTAAAGAATACTGTTGATCAACATTGATGATTGATGAAGTTTGATTTTATTATGAACAACATGGTTTTGACAGTCCGCACACTTTACAGTCTGAAGCTTTATCGTAAATTCTTTTTACCAATTTCTTAATTGTCTACTCACGAAAGATGTTCATTAACACGGAATGGTGCGATGTCGTACTTTTGAGTTTTATTTGTATCAAAGAATTAATAAGTGACAAAGTAAAAAACGAACATTTTGCAGTAGACGATGTTTTGATGTTGGATTTAAGCTATCGAAACTAATATCTTACTTCGAAGTATCCAAGTTTTTCGACATTTCAGGGTTCAAATTGTCAGAGTTATATTTACTAAGATAAAGAACAGGTTTGGCCGGGACCGGAGAAATACTTCGAGATAAACAGGGTCTTCAAGTTAAAAGGGTTTGAGATAACAAAGTTCGACTGTATCTTCATGTGATTTTCTTTTTTAAGGAAAACGAAATAAAGTCGATTTAAAAAGAAGATATTATCATTAGGTTGATAACAAAAGACATTAAATATAAGTATTCTTTTTAAAAAATAATGATGTAAAAAACTCGGAAATTTTACATTTATCAAAAATGAAAATAGCATCTAAATGTATGCTTTTTGTAGTCAACATTACCATTAACCTCATTGTTTTATGCGACTCTGCTTTAATTTAATGAATATTGAAATCTGAGAAAATATAGCTCAATACAGCTTTAACTTATAGGCTGTATAGGTCTTTATAGAGATATATAGCTCAATCGGCAGAATATACTGGACCTGTTCAGTACAGTAGCCGGAGGTTCCTCACACCAGACTTAGACATTTTGACAGATATATGTATGGTGCCCACATCTGACATCTATCTGTCAAATTGTCTAAGTAAACTCGGGCTATTTAGTTACAGCACGGACTTAGATAAAATTCCGTGGTTACAACTGTTGAAATATTGGGGAAAGTGAAAGTAGGTTATATTTCATCTTCCGATTCCTTACTGGTGATATATTTGAGTTGATACATTTTCGCTTGCAAAACATTGTTTACAACAGAAGTAACAGTTATATAAATAATACTGACCTACAATTAATTCATATAAACGTACAATAATATATTGCCAGCAAAGAGTAAAGGGACGTAACTCCGAAAAAATGTCTAACCTAACGCGGCGTGGCTATTAACCGTTGCAGTTGGCAATGCTTGCATATATGTAGTAAAACAGTGAGTACCTGATCATCCTCATGAATGAATGAGCAAGGAATTTCTCCTCGGAGAATCTTCCCGAACACGGTATCCCCGCCCGGCTTGGCGGTCTGTGCTTTCTCCACCTCGCTCATGTTCAGGGTCAAGGTAAGGTTCAAGGCCGTAACCTGAGGTATTCGAATGTTATCACCAATTGCGCACTTTGTAAATGAAAAGGCGTTAACCTATTAGGATAGATGCGCAACATGCTGTAGATTCATGTATGATTTAAACATTAGCTTAAGTGTAATTGCATATAAATAACAATTTCAAATTTCGTTAAATATTTTAAATATCTGAAATAGTTATTAAAATGTTAACAATAAAGATGATAAATAATGCATGACTCATGTTTTAGTTTCGTATTATTTCAGTTTGTCAACAAATAATCACGTGACGTACAAGATGGTGGTCGTACTTTCTGTTCCCGACCTTTCAGACAGGAAACATTGATACAATCTCCACTGTTTCCAGGATCTGCTGTCGATCGATTGACTGTTGTTTGTAGATCGTATTTAATTTTATCTTAAGAGAAGCCGTCAGTGGTGACGATGAAATCGATAGAGGCCAAAGTCGTCGTTCTCGGATCGCAGGGTAAATTGAGGAAATCCACATTACATGAATAATCTTTACTCTATTTGCATATATATGTGTGTGATAGATTTTCCTTTTCCCTGTCATATAGTATAATAAGTTATAATGGAGAATAAACATACCACTATTTGGTCGGTTGAGATTTGGGATGAATTTCCTTTCTATAATACTATATATAACAGTGATTGAGCTGTTGACTGGGAAATAGGTTTTGTGCAAGTTTCTGAGTGTGTCCCAAAGTGTCCCTTTTAGGGTACACCTGTAAAGGCCTGCGTGACCCTGACGGTTTTTTGCATTCTATTTATAGAACCACGGGCTGGAAATAACAGCTTGTAATAGAAAAGAAAAGTTGGTGGTATCTATTTATGACAAAATGTTTGTTTTTGGAAAGAAAAAAATATATGGACTAAACTTATTTCTGCTGATATCCTACTGATGGAAGGAGGAAAATTCTGTATAGAAAAGATATTATGCAAAGAAAATGATATTTTGACTGAATGCAGAGTCATTTATATCAAATACTTTGAATTTATTACTTTGTTTCATCTTTATAATTCTTGGCATGCATGACCCATCCTTAAGTGTAATAGGAGTGGAAAAATGCACGGTCAGACATGGGGTTCCAACCTGGTACCACCAGGGCCTGTATTCATGAAACTGTTCTCATGCTAAAGCATGGATTTTGTGCTCAGACCAACTTTCTTGTAACTCACTTAAATCATGTCGAACAATCAAAAAGTCAAATGTAAACATTGAAAACAGTATTTGGCTTTCAGTCTCTTCAAATTTTTCCAATCATTGACAAGATAAGATTTTATTATTAATTTCTCAACGGAACAATAAATTGGGCTTGAGCACAAATTCCATGCTTGAGCATGAGAACGGTTTCATGAATACGGGCCCTGAACTCTAGACAGACACTCTGCCAATTGTGCTACCTTGTTTCTGGCAATTGACCAAGTCCAGTTCGCTACAATCCTACCTCCTTTTAACAAGTAGCTTACCTATGATCCAGTTGATGAATAACACTTGTTGAATAATAAGCATTAAGGTTTAGTGATTGTTGAGTTATATATAGGGTACTAATCATGTACTTTCTATATTTAAAAACGGTTAGTATAATCCGAAAAAAGTTCAACTAAAGTTACAACTCTGTATGGTCTACCGAAATGTGGAAAATCTACCCGATATATAACCTGGGAGCTTTTGTCTGCCAAGTTTAAGGAAGACACAAGTTTATTACAAATACAGGATCATTTTTTATCCTTTACACTGAACTCAACTATGCAATGTATTATTAAAAAAAAAAAAAACATTTCCAAATTTTAAACAGTATCTGAGTGACCTTTAGTTGTGGAAAAATTCCTGTCCTGCCCAATGCTGATCTTATCAGTTTTAAGAAGAATTTACTGTTGGTCCAGAATGTCATGCAGAGGGAAATTGTGTAGTAATGTACTATTTGAACTTTTTTATACAGGTGTGGGTAAGACCAGCGTGGTGATTCGCTATGTCGGAGGAATGTTCAGTAAGGCCGTCAGTCCAACCATAGGGGCCTCCTTCTTTACCTATAAAATGTAAGTAGCTTTTACCATTGTTTATAGTCCATAGAATGTTCAGTAAGACCGTCAGTCCAACCATAGGGGCCTCCTTCTTTACCTATAAAATGTAAATAGCTTTTACCATTGTTTATAGTCCATAGAATGTTGTGTCTCTGGATATGCATAAAATCTTATTGATGTGGTCGATTCTAAAGAAGAGATTACAAGTGGTGCCTGTCTAATTCAACGCCTTCTTCGATCAAACTAATGGTTTGGATTAGACAGGAAGCCAGTACAGCATAGCGAGTTTCTGTTTATACAAACAGAAATTGGCTATGCTGTACTAGCTTCCTGTCTAATCCAAACCATTAGTATACCATACATATAGTATACTTAGCCAGTTTCTCTTTGTATATAGTATATATAGACAGTTTCTGTTTGTATATAGTATATACATATAGACAGTTTCTGTTTGTATATAGTATACATAGCCAGTTTCTCTTTTTATATAGTATATATAGACAGTTTCTGTTTGTATATAGTATACATAGACAGTTTCTGTTTGTATATAGCATATACATATAGACAGTTTCTGTTTGTATATAGTATACATAGCCAGTTTCTGCTTGTATATAGTATATAGAGACAGTTTCTGTTTGTATATAGTATACATAGCCAGTTTCTGTTTGTATATAGTATACATTAGTGATGGACAATCGGTTTGAAATCATAATCAATAATAATTTTGTAGTCGTTAGTAGTAAACCGATTGATGATCCATTGCATAATCTGTTCATGATTTTATACGACTGTCGACTAAATACCCCAATAAAGTGAGAACACGACTGTTACATCAATAGACAGAGTTAAACATCTATATAGTAGGCTTTGTTCTTTTATAATGAATTTCAAACAGCTTTTATGCAGCTGTTGTCAACGATATAGTAAAAATTTAATTATAAGAATGAACGATTTTCAATGCATACTTTACATTGTATACAATTGACGTTTTGATTTCAATAATGAACTAATCAAATCAATTATGGAATTTGTGATCAATAATAGGAATCATGAAGGGCAGACCAATCAATTTGTTCATCCATCCACCCATCACCAATATGTACATAGATGTTTGTCAGAATAGACACTTTGTAATCTGGCGTCAGATAAGATTTGTTTTCTGTATTTAAAGATTTTGAAATATATCAGTAATTGTTTCCTGATCATTTCAAATCATGATCACGAGAAGCTTAAGATTGGACTTTCAATATTTTTTAACTTCTACCATAGCATGAAGTATCATAAAGATAATCCAACATTGGCTCAAGAGCTATTTATCCTACAATGAACCCCTGTGTATGGGGGTATTGGGGTATGAGGGGGGCAACAAAATAGTCTACGACTCGTATAGGGGGAGGATGGGTTTATTCCAGGATATCATTGTATATTATGATACCCCTACTTATCTGACATTTACTTACAGGACACTAAACAACTACAGAATAAAACTCCAGGTTTGGGATACAGCAGGACAGGAGAGATTCAGGTCTATGGTAAGTAGGTCAGTGACACAGGGACAGGAGAGATTCAGGTCTATGGTAAGTAGGTCAGTGACAGAAGGACAGGAGAGATTCAGGTCTATGGTAAGTAGGTCAGTGACACAGGGACAGGAGAGATTCAGGTCTGTGGTAAGTAGGTCAGGGACACAGGGACAGGAAAGATTTAGGTCTATGGTAAGTAGGTCAGTGACACAGCGACAGGAGAGATTCAGGTCTATGGTAAGTAGGTCAGTGACCCAGGGACAGGAGAGATTCAGGTCTATGGTAAGTAGGTCAGTGATACAGGGACAGGAGAGATTCAGGTCTGTGGTAAGTAGGTCAGTGACACAGGGACAGGAGAGATTCAGGTCTATGGTAAGTAGGTGAGTGACACAGGGACAGGAAAGATTTAGGTCTATGGTAAGTAGGTCAGTGACACAGGGACAGGAGAGATTCAGGTCTATGGTAAGTAGTTCAGTGACACAGGGACAGGAGAGATTCAGGTCTATGGTAAGTAGGTCGGTGACAGAAGTTAAGGTCAATGACAAGTAGATTTGTGACTATGACACTGCTCGATTCGTCTCTGAAATTCGTGAGCCGGGTTGCGCCGTCACGTTACCGTCCAACAATTGAATTGAGCGCACCACGGCCGGCTGATATCAAATCTGGCTGCCACTTCGGGAGCTACTGCGATTGCTACAGATTTGATACTGAATGGGGACAGTGAGGAGGAATTTGAATTCCAGAAATACATTCAAAGTGTCCTTTGTGCTCTGATAGCCTAATAAGTAGAAGTTACGCTGAATTTGTTTAAGAATTACACAATGCGGTAGCAGACTGTGATTTAAGTCATTTCGTCCCATGTTTAGCGATTGATCAGGGCAAAAGGTCTTACGTGTTATGACTAAAAGACAGTTTTAAAACGGTCAACCTTTTGACAGCATAATTCCGTATCAAATTTAACAATTATAATTGACTTTTTTCTGTATCTCAAAAGATACTTATGTTTATGTAGAGACCTGATAAATCTGATGTGATCTTTGAAGACATCAATTAAAACTACTTTCACCACAAATCTCACAGATCAGTTTTATCTCACACTACGAGAATCTTATCATTCATGTACTATGTTTGCTGCCATCTGCGCCGGTCACAGCAAGGTGGGCGATCTGGCTTACGGAAGGTGGACTGCCGCCGCAATATTTGATCTTACTCACTGGTGGTCAAATCGAGCAGCACCATGGAAGGAGAGAAAACATTCAGGTTATATTTAATGATTGAGCAGGTTTGTGACGACAGTGGTTCAGAGATGTAGAGGTATATGGTAACGTAAGTAGATTTGTCATTTGTCAGACAAAAGAATATGAACGACTCTGGTCTATGATTAGGCAGATTTCTGATACAGAGCTGTTAAAGGGACAGGAGAGATTCAGGTCATTGATAAGGTTGATGACACAGGGACAGGAGGGATTCAGGTTATTGATAAGGTTGATGTCACAGGGACAGGAGAGATTCAGGTTATTGATAAGGTTGATGACACAGGGACAGGAGAGATTCAGGTTATTGATAAGGTTGATGACACAGGGACAGGAGGGATTCAGGTTATTGATAAGGTTGATGATACAGGGACAGGAGGGATTCAGGTTATTGATAAGGTTGATGACACAGGGACAGGAGGGATTCAGGTTATTGATGAGGTTGATTTGATAACACAAGGACAGGAGGAATCTTTTGTCTACATTAGATAGAGCTTTTGTTGACAAACATACAGACAAGCTGTTTTAGCTGTTAACTGATTGACACACTCACAGGTGTTTGTTAACTCATTCAATACCGAAGACACATTTGAACTCTTCCAATGCAAAGGTTGGAATTGTTCTTTATGAAATTTTAGGGGTGAATGAGTTAATGTTGAACTGATTTTATTTGTTACAGGCTCCCATGTATTACAGAAAGGCAAACGCTGCCATGTTGATCTACGACCTCACTTCAGCGGACAGCTTCTATGATATCAAGGACTGGGTCGGCGGTAGGTAGTGTTGTCATAGTTACCGTATATCGGGTTATTTTCACAATTTTGATCAAAATAAGAAATTTTGGTTAACATGTACATGTATTATAATTTCGCAATCGAGACATGTGAAGGAACTTAACTTTATGTGAAGGAACTAAATTTTTGTGGATACTGTCTCCAATGTTGACAGCCACATTGAACTAATTTGCCGTCTAGGGGGGACCGCTCCATGTATCATATGCGTATACATACCTGTGATTTAATGTCAGTTTTTCTGAAAACCCCGTATATATCTTCCTTGCCTGTACAAGTTACCAGTTGCCACTGGCAAATATGTTCAGGAATCCGCTAGGTTTTCTATTAGTTTTCCCTTTCGTTATTTAGCACAGTGATGGGACACTTGTCATGTGTCAAATAGTCAAATGAATTGGTTTTATTACAGTATATTGATGAGCAAAAACAAGTGAGGGTATTGATTTTGAAAAAGCATCAACAAACCTAATAGATGTATTATATAATCCTTTTTCAAACATCTTGTATTACTCTTGATAGATAGGTATCGTCACAACCAAATGCTTGCTGTTTCATGACATTACGGTCATGCAGTTTATTATCATGGCTCAATTTTGCACTGGTCATACTATATTCTGTGGATCATGTTTTCCCGACCATGTTAATGACCCGCGACCATGTTAATAGCCCGCGAAATCGCGGAAACATCCTGCTATACCATTCCACAGACACTGTTATGTTTCATCACCATGGTAACACTTAGATATTGTTAGGTTGTCAGAGTTGGGATAAAAGTATCAGGACAAGGTTTAGGTCAGCAGTATAATGTTGTCATGGTAGTAACCATATACACTGTTATGTATCATCGTCATGGTGACACTTAAATATTGTTAGGTTGTCAGAGTTGGGACAAAGTACTGTTAGGATAAGGCTAAGGTCATATTGTTAGGTTGTCAGAGTTGGGACAAAGTACTGTTAGGATAAGGCTAAGGTCAGCTGTGGGTAGGTAGTTAAGGCCTTGTTATTGTTAATCATTTATTCTATATAAAAAAAATCTTTAAATTAACTATATCCCTGCTTTTGCCTGAGTTTGCTGTCCAGGGAGTTAGTCCTGGAAACTAAAGACACCCAATCTGACTCCTTCCCATGGCAGATTCCGTCACTTCCTCACAGAAATGACCACCCCTATCAGGTGATAGGTGTGTGGGGCTGACCTGTCTCCTCCTTGCTGGTATCCAACTCAGAGACAGTGTTGATAGGGTTTTATAACTTATGAATTGGAATAATACTTTTTTTTTTAAATGTTTGTGTTTCATGACAATATAATAAAACAGTGAAAGTAAGGGATTTAGAGATATAGTACATTTTTGTTCCTGGTGATGAGGAATTTTCCCCTCAGCTTCTGAATAATCAGTTGGTTTGTTAAAAGCAATAACCACGACCCTATTTCAAGATCACATGAACAATTTTATTTGAAATGATCCAACAAAGATTCAGGAGTTATAAATAATACGATCTCCTAGCAAATATCCATATGATATTTAGCATACAGGTACATCACTATCCACATGATATTTAGCATACAGGTACATCACTATCCACATGATATTTAGCATACAGGTACATCACTATCCACATGATATTTAGCATACAGGTACATCACTATCCACATGATATTTAGCATACAGGTACATCACTATCCACATGATATTTAGCATACAGGTACATCACTATCCACATGATATTTAGCATACAGGTACATCACTATCCACATGATATTTAGCATACAGGTACATCACTATCCACATGATATTTAGCATACAGGTATATCACTAGGCATTGACCCACTTTAAAGGTCGAGGATGTAAGACAGATAAGATGAGCAATGTACAGGCCCATTGGGCATCTTGTTTCCCTTTCAAAAAATGATGCAAAATGAGATAGATTGGTTGGTTTACCTATCCCTAACTTTTCTTTTGACAGAACTGAAGAAAAATGTTGACACGCCTATAGGTAAGTAATGTACAGTAAACCCCCATTTACTCAAACTCGTGGGACCCAGATCAATAGTTTGAGAAATACATGGTATTCAAGTAGTCCGAGGTTAGTCCTAGATTGTCTAGTATATATATGTAAAATTTTGATTTGATGATAATTAAATATATGTAAAACGGTACTTATGCTATTATCAAGATACTGGTAAACTGTAGTCTTAGCCCGAGGTATTGTCACAGCGCAGGTGTAACACACAGGTAAAATATCTGTCAGGCGTGACATGTCATACCTGGTCGACGAACAGGTAGGATTAATACTATGACCATGAATAGTCAGGGACAATTTTTTGTTCAAAGAGTACGTGGTATTCGAGGAATAACTGTTCAACTAATCCGGGGTTACTTTACAAAGAATATGTACGAACTCGGTCGGGACCAAACAAACTGTTCGCCGAATGAGGGGTACTCGAGTAAACCGAGTTCGAGGAAGTGGGGTTTTACTGTATCTATATGGGCACACCCATCATTTACTTTCACTATGAAGTAATGTGTTGTTGATATCACGACTGTGCCATTCTACTCCACGATAATATGTATGGCATAGTAACACTGTTCCATCATCTATTCCTACTCACCTGTAATGAGGGTGGTATAGTAACACTGGTCCAGCATCTATTCCTACTCACCTGTAATGAATGGTATAGTAACACTGTTCCATCTTCTATTCCTACTCACCTGTAATGGATGGTATAGTAACACTGTTCCATCATATATTCCTATTCACCTGTAATGAGTGTGGTATAGTAACACTGTTACATCATCTATTCCTACTCACCTGTAATGTATGGGATAGTAACACTGTTCCATCATATATACCTACTCCCCTGTAATGTATGGTTTGATAACACTGTTTCATCATCTATTCCTACTCACCTGTAATGTATGGTATAGTAACACTGTTCCATCATATATTCCTACTCCCCTGTAATGTATGGTATGATAACACTGTTTCATCATCTATTCCTACTCACCTGTAATGTATGGTATGATAACACTGTTCCATCATCTATTCCTACTCCCCTGTGATGAGTGTGGTATAGTAACAATGGTCCGTCATCTATTCCTACTCCCCTGTAATGTATGGTTATACAATAGACTTGTTCTTTCATTCTCTACATCTATTCCCCAAAATGTGACAAATTAATGCTGTTCCTTGTTTTTACTCATTTAGCTCATTTAGTAATATATGATGACATTAACGCCGTTCCATTCTCTGTTTTCCCGCCCCAGTAATGTGTGATGACGTTAATGCTGTTCCATTCTCTGTTTGCTCTCCCCAGTAATGTGTGATGACATTAATGCTGTTCCATTCTGTTTGCTCTCTCCAGTAATGTGTCTGGTTGGTAACAAGTGTGATATGTCAGATTGCCGTGAGGTCACGTCCATTGATGCAGAGGAATACGCCTCAACCATCGGCGCCCTCAACCACGAAACATCTGCCCTCAAAAACACAGGTATGTATATATATGCACAACAAAACATCAGCCATCAAACAACAGCTGTTTTGAACCATCAAAACTTCCATCAAACCATCAGGTTTTACACGCAAATCCATACACTTGCAAACAATGCCTAGAAGTCACATACATACTTATATTGTAACATAATTTTAAATATCTCTCATTTTGTAATAAATGCAATATAACTGAGCATGCTACCATTGCCAATATGGATGAAAGCTTCAAGATGATCAAAGGTGCAAGGTCTCTCTGTTAAACATTGGTGAAAGTTGTTGAAATACCATAACACTTACTACATCTGTTCTACAAGACATATGTAGTTAGTTTGAATGCTATTGAAAGTCATATATTAAAACCTAAGAGAACGAAGCTTCATTTTTGTCATTTTCATGAAGAGGCATATAGTGTTACTCGTGTTCTACTGGTCACACGTGTGGCCATCACAGAGTTTGCCATCCTTCTAGCCCCTCCATAGTTTTGACCAAATCTCTTTGTTTGTATATGCTGTCTGTTAACATAAGGTTGACATTACCTCACATTGATGTCGGGTGGCGTAGTGGATAACGCACTCGCCTGTCACCAAGGCAGTTGGGTATTGTTCCCCCGATTGGACGTGAAAAGGTATGGGGTCACCTGCCTGTCCACGTGGATTTTCCCACAGTAAGACCCCCTGCGCACTTACATCCGGACCAACAAGAGTGATAAACATAAGTTATATAACTTGTTTCGTAATTGTTGCAAAATAAATAAAGTTTACATCTTAACATGTTACAGGTATAGACGAGGCATTCCTACAGGTAGCCCAGCAGCTGATCAAACTTTACGAGACGTCACCTAATTCTGGACTCCATACAGTGGACACAGCTGACCATTCGTCCCCAGCGCCGGCTCCCACGGACACGGGTGATACATTCCGCCTCGCCTCCCAGGCCACGCCCCCTAGTGACAGCTCCCAGTGTTCCTGCTGATAACGACTGTGATAGGACGTTAATTATTCATTGTGTTGGACTAAAGTGGCATTGTAAGAATTCCATGAAATACATTTCCATTTATATTGACAGACAGCAAACCTTGATTCCGACTCCTTACCTTATAAGGACCTGTCGGTCACTGGTAAATAAGTTGTCTGATAACTCATAAGCTGGTATGGTGGTGTATACATTCAAACTCCTAGGTAAAAATTCACAAAGCAGTGGTTTATAATAAACATTTTTAGGATACAGTTAGATTAAGCAAAGTTAATCAATATTGAACATCTGGGCTGGGAATTGAGATCAGAGGGGTCACCATCGTTCAGGGAAGGTAACTGTATACCAGATTTATATAATAAAAAAATTGTACATAAAAATTAATAGAGAATTCAAATAGGAATTTTACTTCATACGGTTGCCATTCTAAATGATCCAAATAAGTCAATGTCATTTGGTTGTCACACAGGTTATATGATGTCATTGAAGGTCACAAGGTCATCTGAGGTCATTGACTATCAAACAGGTATTTCAGGTCATTGAAGGTCACATGAGGTCAGGTCACATGAGGTCAGGTCACCTGAGGTCACGGCTTGTCACACAGATTTTCTAAGTTAATGTTAGATTGTACATGGTGACTCCAGTTTTCATGGGTGACTGAACACAGTGACCCTTGTGTCATGGTTGACTGTACATAGTGACCCTTGTGTCATGGTTGACTTACATGGTGACCTCGTTTCATGGTTGACTGTACACAGTGACCCTTGTGTCATGGTTGACTGTACATAGTGACCCTTGTGTCATGGTTGACTTACATGGTGACCTCGTTTCATGGTTGACTGTACACAGTGACCCTTGTGTCATGGTTGACTAGACATGGTGACCTCGTTTCATGGTTGACTGTACATGGTGACCCTTGTGTCTTGGTTGACTAAACATGGTTACACTTGTGTAATGGTTGACTCGTCATGGTGGCCTCTGTTTAGATTATATATGGCTTTAGTGCTTTTTTCCTCCTGACATCTTGTTTATATAAAGCTTGCATCAAGTTGTAAAATAAGAGGTTTATTTAAGTTGCTCAATGTAATATTTATTGTATGTACAGTGCCATACATAAACATTAGAGGCAGTGCACTGTTAAATGTATTATGTTGATATTAAACTCCTTTAAATTAAATCTATGAGATATTCATACTCATATATACTGTTCTTACAATATTTAGCGCCCAAAGAGTGTAAAAAATAGAAAACGGGGGATGTTAAACGATTTGTTAAAAACTGCATTTCTAAAATGTTTGTGATGGTTTTCATAGCCCTTGCATTAAGTTAGGAAATTTTGACACTGTGGATGAGGACTTTTAAATGATTTCAAGAAGAGATTAAGGCAGGCAGCACCTATAGGATGTAGGAAACTTAAAATGGCAAATACAGTATCAATGAAACACCTTTTTTTATAAACTTGACAGAGACTATCGATATAAACCATCTGAAAATTTAGCCTTTTTTGTTCTTTCCTTTGTTATGTTTTTATCGACAGGTTTGCATGATACAGATTAAGGGACCATAGGACATCGCAAAATATATAGAAACTTTGAGGCGATTGTCTATTTTCAATGACAATGTACAAAATGGTCGAACTAAGAGCTGTGGTTATCGCAGCTACCTATATTCTCGAAGCTTTAATTCATTGTGTAGCAGTAAAACCTGATACCCAGATAACAATAGGTACACTAGGTAAAAGAAAATCTGGGGAGACACTGGTTCTGTTATCAAATATCTGTCTCACATTATGAAAAGTTCTTTTTAAACAACCAATACATTTTCATTTTTTTTATGACGTTTCGATGACTAGTACGATATGTACACTGTCACCTTCATCAGACCAATGACCAGTGAAGCGTATGCACACAAAGGTGTAAAATGTGTACGTGGTGTAGCTACAAAGCGTAGCTTAATCCAGTCATTTTGGTACATATATAACAAGTATTGTACATACGCTTACAGCGTAGCCGAAATCGACATCGATTTTATGGACAACTCGTACACAATTTACGCCTTTGTGTGCATACACTTCATTGGTCAGTTGTCTGATGAAGGTGACAGTGTACATATCGTACAAGTCATCGTAACGTTACAAAAAAAAAAAAAAATGGTTGTGTAAAAAGAACTTTTCATAATCCATACTTTCCAACCTGAAGAATATTTTTAGAAATATCTGTCTCGTGTTATAAAATGATTATATATGTGGATGTCATCACTGACAGTTGCGTATTAAATATAATCAGTGTATATAATATTTTACTAAAATGGATTGACACGAAACCAGAAGTTTCAAAATACTTTTATGCATGAAATTGTAGAAATTATAATTATCACTAAGGATGTAAGGTTATATAACTGTCTAGGTGCGAAAAAAATGAATTATATTATTACATCTTGGCTACATTTGTCTATGGCGCTGCAAATGAATAACCATTAAATACTTTTGCGTATACGAAAAATATAAATATTTTTGCATACCGGTACTTAAAATTTTGCATTCCCAATATCACTTTTCAGTTTTGGCATATACAAAAATTCAAAACAACAGTTTTGGGTATGCAATATCGTTTTTGTGGTAATGCAAGAATCGGGGATTTTTAGATGAGCAAAAAAAACCAAACTGCCATTCATTCCACCTTTGTTAATGTTGAAATTTTGGTACACATATATCATTTTTATACAGTGGATATTTGTTGTGTGCTTGATGGGGATTTTTCAATGTTGCTTTAATTAGGTTGTGTCCTGAGTGACATTTATCCTATAATCAGCTGCTAAATTATTGTCATGTTAAATATCTAACATCAACCATTGTGACATCACAAGGGATAGTACAATGACGTCATTGTGACATCACAGGGGATAGTACAATGACGTCATTGTGACATCACAGGGGATAGGACAATGACGTCACAAATGCACGGCCATGTGTTCATTAGATGTATTGTAATTCATTGGTGGATAATGTGATAAAATACTCTCAAATGTTTTCCAATTTCATCTGACTTTTGTTAAAGATACAGAAACCCATTCATAGAAATTTTATAAGAAATCGTTGGAGATGCTTTATGAGAACTTGATTTACCTACTTTATTATAGGAGAACTGTTTGGAATACTCTATGCATTAAGGAGGACTTGTTTTAAAGGCTCTGTGAATGTTATACGACCTCGTTTTCACAAAATAATGCGAATTTGTTTAAGGTGCTCTTGTTATCGTGGTAACGGTAATTTGTTTGTGGTAAGCTGAAAAAAATTCATTGGTGTTATTTTTAAGACACGTATTATTGTCTATGCTTTTTCTAAGAATATGCATTTGATCTGTGTACAAGTAGCTACAAATGCCTGTATATTGGTAATAACCGCAGTGCTATATAGCGCAAGACATGAATATAATGTTCCTTATTTCTTTTACCACCACTTTACACCAAATAAATTAACATTTTGTTATACCTGAAATGTAAACATAATACGTGTTAAGCAATACATGACCGACCCATAATTTATAACGCTTCAAGGCTTGTCCTTAACCTACTCTGCCATGGTTAAACCCCCACCATTGCCGAATACAGGGAGTTTACATTTGGTAAGTTGGTTGATTGCTATACGTTTTTAATATTACATAATTGTACCAATGTAGGAAATAGCATTGGAAGTGAATTGGTTGCCAGGTATATCTTAATAATGAGATATCGGTCACAAATATACCACAGTGTCAACAAGCAATTTACCACAGCATCAACACACAAGGGCAAAATATACCGCAGCATCAACACTCAACAAAATATAGCTCAGTGTCAACAAACGATTTACCACAGCATCAACACTCAACAAAATATAGCTCAGTGTCGTTACAAACGACAAAATTACCACGGGGCCGATACTATAGGATAAATATACCACAGCATCAACACAACAACAAAAAATATCTCAGTGTCAACAAACAACAAAAATTACCACGGGGCCGATACTATAGGATAAATATACCACAGCATCAACTCATAAGGACCAAAATACCACAGCGTCAACACAACGACAAAATACACACCAGTGTCAACACAAGGACAAAATATACAACAGCATCAACACAATAACAAAATACACACCAGCGTCAACACAACGACAAAATAAACACCAGCATCAACACAACGACAAAAATACACACCAGTGTCAACTCAAGGACAAAATATACAACAGCATCAACACAATAACAAAATACACACCAGCGTCAACACAATGACAAAATAAACACCAGCATCAACACAACGACAAAATACACACCAGCGTCAACACAAGGACAAAATACACACCAGCGTCAACACAAAACATTATATAACACCTGTGTCAACAAACAACAAAATATATCACAGCGGCAATACAATAGGGAAGATTCATATTCCACAGCATCAACACACAACAAAATATAGCTCAGTGTCAACAAGCGTCAAAATATACCAATACACAACAAAATATACCACAGCATCAACATGTAAAGATGTTACGGTATATACCACAATGTCAGATTAAAGAGGACACAATTTGGAAGTTGATAGGGATGGATGTACAAAAAAGACACTTTAAGGTGAATCCCATAAAATTCTGACATGACGTCCTTAATTTGAATACAAGTTTCATAGTTCAAATACTTAATATACAAGCATTGTTTCTAGAGTGTGTTGTCTTATGCTGAAATCAGTAAGTAAAAGAAATGTGTTTAAGTAAATCTTTGGTTGTGCACACATATATCTGCTGATGGACTTGTGTTTCGTTGTAAATATATGGTAGGTGAATATTGTTTTTCTTGTTGATGAAAATAAAAATATATTCACATTTACAGTCAATTCAATGAGTTTGTTACTTTTTTCCGCCTTTCATCTTTCTAGATACAAGATGGTAACCTCTTCTTGTGGATTTAAAGCCCCCGAAGTTTGTCATAACTTTGATAGCCACAGTTATCTGTTTTGAAGAGGCACATAATGGTTCATCATATTTAAATATTTTACTCATTGTTAATTTAAAACTAACCAGTGCTCGTTTAGTTTTTAACACTGATTAAATTAAAGGGTTTCACACACTTCCCCTTCTGTTTCAACAGAAGTGAGGACCTTTATATAGATTTAGATGACGGGTGTCTGATGAATCGGTAGATGCTATAGATTTAGATGACGGGTGTCTGATGAATAGGTAGATGCTTACCCTTCTGGTACAAGTGGTCTTGTTTTAGTTGCCGTATATTTTCCAATGGTCTCCTCGTAACTTTTCTATCGTTCACATACAGCCTTACACTTATGAATCATGCGAGTTCAGATTACATTTCACTTGATACTTATCTTGTTGATTGTCAGTACCTTTTTCCTACCAGGTCCTATATAGAACCTCTGACAGGTATAATCCGGCAATGTTATTATAATCCGGCAATGTTATTATAATCCGGTAATGTTATTATTATCCGGTAATGTTATTATTATCCGGTAATTTTATTATAAGCCGGTAATGTTATTATAAGCCGGTAATGTTATTATAATCCGGTAATGTTATTATTATCCGGTAATGTTATTATTATCCGGTAATGATATTATAATCCGGTAATGTTATTATAATCCGGTGATGTTATTATTATCCGGTAATGTTATTACAATGAAACATAGTCGTGGTCATCAGTGTTTGTACTCATCATCATAGACAGGGTCCAAAAATAAGTTCAACCCAGGGGACAGTAGTCGGACCTTTGACAAACGTTTGCTAATTCAATACTATTTTCACATACAAACTATCTGTGTTGGTAAAATCCATAGCTTATGTTAAATTGCACACCTTCATGTTAGGAATTCACGTCACATAAGTTCAGTTAGTATTATTCATGTCGGTTAATTAGTTTAGGTTCTGGAAGGACAATTCACAATGACGGGCACTCATGATCGTCCGAATTTTGCACATCAAAATAGTCTGCACCAAACTGAAGCTAACCTGAATCGGACTAAGGCTTTGATCATATATGGTAATATTAGGATAATGTTTTGATATCTAGCAAGAGATCTTTGAAGAATTCTCGAAATGAAATTCCTGTCATGGATTTATAACTTCAAATGTGAAAAAACTCAAAAGACCATAACAAGACCACGACATATGCTGTACTAACAACAGTTCCTACAGGAATGCCTTGGCTGCTGGAGAATCTTGCCCTGCAGGTAGGGCGTAAGAATTGTACCTGCTGCCCCCATTGCATGATCGTAAGAGGCAACTGAATTTTAGACCTTATATTTTCTCTTCTTTCTAAACAACTTTCTTCTTCCTAATGTCTCCCTTGACAATGCCTCACTTTTGGCCTTTACTTGAGTGTTCGCCCCTGTGAGGAAGGCTTCGGGTTCTGTCTGCTGGTCCGAGACATACAAGAGTCTGTAAAAATGGTAGTTTTTACTCCTGCTTAACGCTCAGCAATTTAGGAGTGCGACAACTGGTTCACCCGTTGTCAGTATAATGTGACCGGGTGGGGTGACCTGCTGGGTTTCTTCAGCAGTATGTTTCAGTGAGGTAGCATTATAAAGTCGGCATCAGTTCTGCGCTATCACAAGGAGACAAGCACGAACATATCGCAGACTCCCAAAACACACACATATACACTACACGCATGCATCTTGTACACAGGGGAGGCCGTCCTTAAATGAGCATAGCTGTTGATAAGACGTTAAACAATACTAAAACAATTGCCATCAAACTCGACCAAGGTATTGTACATTATTAATTCAATCAGTCTAATAATATCATTCTCAGTATATTTCTTATCATAGCGACTAGTAACCATACAGATAGAGGTTACTCTTTTCT